TTGCAAAAAAGGATGTTTCCCACATGGACTGAGAAAGATGGTGATGGAAATCCAGCTTGGTTCTGAGCAGAGTTTCTGTGTAAACCCACCTTGAGCTAAAAGGCATTCCCCTCCCCCTTTAAAGTATCTTCAGGGAGTAATTAGCTGTCCAATCATTGGTAAGCCCTAATATATTTGGGTGATTTTTTTTTTTTTTTTGCCTGGCCTAGGGTGCCTCTATATTTTTATCAATAGGGTACAATAACTAAAACTGAGGGAAACCTATGATTTCAGCTTTCAGCATGGCTGACCATTGGCTCCCATGCCATCGCTCTTGTTTCATCAAGAATGTGGTCCTTCAGAGTTGGCCTTCTAAGAAAATTTATAAAACTGGAGAACCTTATAACTGCAATTTTGAGTTCATGCCCCTCATTATTACCCTAGAGACTGGGATTCTTCGAAGTTTAAGCATTGCCAGGAATCACATAGCCAGGGCTAGAAGCCGTGGCTGTGTGTACACTATGTCTCAAGGTCATGCTGGTCAGACCACGCTTGGTTCAAAACATGAACCTAAGGGCATGATACTTTACACTTGTCACTGGCTTGTGCTTAACTCTTTACTTGCACGCCTGCCCATATGCATCTTTTTCTAAGAAAACATTAAACCATAATATACTTTAAGTCTCTGTCAACATTTTGTTCAATCTTGGGTAAACAGACAAAGGATTACTATTCTACACTACACTTATTAATTGATATGAAAAATTATTGGGACCAAATGTATTCATTCTGTGTAACACTTAGAGAAAAAAAAATCCAATATATATCATAAACATATGTGAAAATTTTGTGAAATAACAACACAGTGTGGATATAGTTAAGATTTTATGTCAAATATTTCTAAATTCACCTAAATAACAAATGTAAAAAAGATGTTTTAATGCTGACTTTATATTTTATACTAAAACATGAGATCCTTTTCAGAGAAGATCTTCTATAATATTACTTTCCTATTTAGTTATTAACCTAAATGATGTTATTCCACCGGATTTCATATGTGTTGCAGGTCCTGCTGGGAAATCATAAAACTGGGCTCATTTAGGAAGAGGCAATGTGGCTATATCAGAAAAGCTACCATATGTGAAACCTCACTTTATGCCCGTTGAAATTTTTGTATTTCAGGTCTCCCAGGGACGTGTCCATTGTGCTATTGTGTAATTTTATCAGCATGAACTTCTGCTGAATATTTTTCCTTCTTTTCAAAATCCATATTTTAGTAGAGCTAACTTCGAAACTTAATGTTGCAACATCTGTGCCCATACACCCGGGAGCCATAGAAGATGTATCCTGAAGATTATCTACATTTTCTAATCTTATAAAATGCTACAAAAAGAGAGAAAAAGGTTATATATTTTTCCCGGTCTGGATTTTTTTTTTAAGGAATCACTTTCTGCCTCCTTAAAAGGATTCTTACGATAAAGGAGAACGAATACTTCTAAAGCTATAAAGAATATCTTTACAAATGTAATAAAATATTCATTTGTTTTGTTTACAGATAATTCTTAATACATATGTACAGCTTTCCATTAAGATACTATTTTGTGAATACAAAATCTGGAGCTATAGTCTCGAAATGTTTTCAAACAAGACTTTTTAATAACTAAATAAAAAGAAAGGAAAAAAATTGCTACTTTGAGTTTATTTACTACTTTTCTTTTGTGGATCTATCAACAGCTCAATGGTTTCTTTTTTAATAAAATAGAAGTTATGGTTTTATTTATTTCTCAAATGCAAGATTGAGATACTGACAAACAGGAAAGTGTTTATGAATGGAGAGAAATGCCTTCCACCTGGCTTCCTTCTATTAGTTGTTTTATCTCTTTAGAATAAAATATGTGGCAATGTAAAGAGTTTAGAGCACATCAAAACTGCCTGCCTGAGATGGTGCTGCCAATCAAATGGGTAGAACCAGTTGTTGTTGAAGGATAATGTAGAATATGTGATTTTCTACAGATTCAAATTAGTGAAGAAGGATGATGAATGGACTTAGGGAAATCACATGTGGATTTTCTTGACTTTATCATCAATGTATCAAATTATGATAAATACTAAATACTTATGGAGTGCATTCTATGTGTCATGCATTGTTTTAATTGCTTTGCACATTTTACTCATTACATTTTCACCATAAATATATGTGACGGGTACTTTTGCCATCGTCATCTTACAGATGAAGAACCTGAAGCAGGTAGGTTAAGTAACTTGTCCAAAGTCACCCAGCTTATCAATGGTGGAGCAGAGCTACTGCAGAGCACCATGAGTCTACATTGCCTCCTTTTCCTATGAGTACTTTTCACATAGGGAACAAAATAGCTTTTCACTCTTACTTCGATGCAAAGTATAAGATGACAAATAGTTTTTTAAAATATGTTTTTAAAAATATTTCTATCTTCACTCCAATCTATTGGCTTCTTGACCTGAATGCTGCCTTAATATTTACTGAGTGTTCATTCCTCTTGAGTTTTCAGAAATCATTATAATGCTCACTTACTTTTTAAAACAGTATAAAATTATTTCAAATTTAAATACCAGAAATATTCAAGGCAGGGCCAAGTGAAATATCTATGATAAAGATGGGAGAGAAAATGTGGTTAATTCAAGACTACCAGCATTGGTAATCATCTTACAGTGAAAAGTCAAATTTTAACAAAGAAATTCAACCTCATAGTTGCTAAAAGCAAGGAGCAGAATTTCACCTTGCTTTTTTCCCACATGCTATTCCACCATTATCAGAAAAAGATTGGCATATTTACAAGGAAGAGAGGAAAGGTGGGTATTTACTTCTTCAGTCATCAGAGTAGTGTTCAATGCTTGGGAAGGCTCTGGGAGAAGGGAAACATGTCAATGTGTGCTGAATGCCAGCTTTTTTCTTATAGGTCAAGTCAAAAAGAGGAAAACGTACAGCTGTTCGATGTTCCTCTTTACCATTTGCATTTCTTGAAATACAATAAACAAAGCAAACAATTTCTGCTAGAGAGAAATTAAGCTAACACGAACATCATTGTCTATTTTACATTTTAAAACTGCAATTGAAGAGAGCAATACCATGTATCTGATTCTGAGTAAGGGTTGTATCAATTCTCAGTTATCAATATTAAACATGAAATAACTTCAAATATACCCTTTATTTGACTTGACAGGAATGTGGAGTCGTGAGTCTGAACTACGATTTGCAATAGAGAAATGTTTATTAGAGGCATAGACATAGAAGAATGTCGTACTGTAAATGCAGTCAAAATTTTAAAAGTGTCAAAATCTCTAACATGGTTTAGCAATTAAACTGTGTCAATGCCCTTGCCAAGAAGAGTTCATAATTTGGAAGCTGTAGTTGCTATTGACCTGATTTTACAATTGAGATCATGTCTGAGTTTTAATTTGGAAACAAAATTGATCACTGTGTTCTTTAAACAAGACCTGTCAAGTTATTACTCTGCAACTGCTTTGAAAATACATATTTATTTAAGAGCAGTATGATTTAGGATATACTGTAACAAAAATTATTTCATGAGCTTCTTTTAAGAGATTGCTTTATATTTAAACATTGAATTCTTTAAGTTCTTCAATTAATCCTGAATTACTCAGAATAATTTTTTAAAATATATTTTAAAAATATTTCTATCTTCACTCCAATACGTTGGCTTCTTGCCCTGCATGCTGCCTTAATATTTACGGAGTGTTCATTCCTCTTGAGTTTTCAGAAATCATTATAATGCTACTTATTTTTTAAAACAGTATTCAATATGATTGCATCCTAATATTAGCAAACAAACTTGCAATTTAGGTTCATATAACTTGCTTCTTTTACATAAATTGTTTCTTTCATCACTACTATACGAAGGAAGACAGATGAAATCCATACAAAAAGGTCAGTCTATTTGCTTTAAAGCCATTTCAGACTTTTTATGAACTTTATCCCTCTAGCCCATAATTTTGATTTCTTATAGGCTTTCTCAAGACTGTAATTTTAAAAATTTAAATTGAATCTAAATGAATAATAAAAACATCTTTATGCTATACGTAGTTGCTATAAGTCTTCCAAGTATCTTATTTTGCTACTTCTAGATTTTATTCTACTTTCAAAAGGAGATTTGGGGTTAAGGAAATGTTCATTTTCCCCCTTTACAAACTGTAATTGCATGAGAATAACTTGATGGTTGAATTCTAGGCAGGAATCCACAGAAACTTTCTATTCTTGATGGGTTAATTTAAGAGCAGTCCTACCTTTTTCACCTTCTTTTTCTTCTTGGTCATCTGTTAATGGAATCACTTCTGTTTTCTCCACAATCACGGCATCTTCTTGGTTTGATGCAAGTTCTAAAAAGAATGAGACAGACAGACACTCAGGGATGTCTTAGTTGGAATCATTGAGAGAATACAGAGACTATAGCATAGAAAGTTAGAGTTCTTTCTTCCCCCTTCAAGTTTCAATAGGTACACCAAGTTGAGCACTGTTGTTATCCTCCAGTAATCATTGCTTAAAAACACACACACATGCCACTCACACACACAGGTATATACAGAAGTCATGGTTCACAGTTTCATCTCATTCTAAGTTAACAATATATTTTGGTTTCAGTACCTTCTGTTTCCATATATGAGCTCTGGGATTCTGTTTCAATTTTTATTTCATTCTTCGTTGAATCATTCTCTTGTCCTGTTCAAAACAGTGATTGAAAAATAAAAGAAATGTGATATGCATGACCACAGCTTCCTGACCTTCAGAAACCATGCTTTAATCGTGCATGGAGAAATAGAGAACAGTTTTGAAACCAAAGTGGAGGGCAAAGATACAATTTTTCTAATCGTCAGATTTATATCAATTATTTTCTGAGAAATATCCTGATAATTTAGGAAAAAATCTTTTTTTTTTTTTTTGGAAACTGATTTGAAACTGCCATACTTATATAGCTTATCAATGCACAGGATGTGGATAGAGGACACAACCTGGAAATTTTCAAATGTTACAATAATTTCTGGGCTGTATGGGTTAACTACATTTAATTTCCTTTTAAGATACAAATGTTTCCCATAGTGAGGATTCCTAGAAAATGAAAACACTACTTGCACTTTCATTTTTCCATCAACAGAGCATAAAAAACTTGAGTCATGTGGGCACAAGGGAACTGGGGGGATAACAGCTCAGCCATTCTCTTAAGACACATACTAAATACAGCAAAGGTCAGGAGAGAATTCAGCCAACTCTTGATTACTCTTAGGTTGATTATCTAGTAATGGTTTTTCTTCCACACCCCTTGGCTTCTCCTCCTACCCTCCCCTGTAGAGTTTAAAACATTTAAGTGCTCATTAAGAGAGGAAATTGAAATCTGTCCATTTTGCCTCAGGCTAATGAAAGATTTTGTGCTGAGGATATTTAACTATGGAAATTTTTCTTAAAAATTCTAGAGCTAGGGTTGGTTATA